TGTCTCTGCACCCAGCTTGCAGAGAGCAAGGGGGAAAGCTTGCTTTTGGGAAGAGGGCCCATCTCAACCACTGGAAACAGCCGGATGCCAGGGATACCCTCATTGCCCCCAGCCCCAGTGATGCCCACGTACCACGGCCCAGTGCGCTGTTACGCAGGGAGCCGGAGCCCTGGGTACCGTTCAGGCAGTGGGAAAACCCTCCTTCACTCGGGAGACGCTTGGATAGCTGGAGAGGGACGAGCGGGCAGTGCCCAGCTCTCCGCTCTGCTCAAGGTAGGTGAAATCTGCCCTCCGGCTGCAATTCGCCTCCGCTCTCAGCTTTCCTCCCCACAGCTGCTCCCTCCTGGCCCTCAGCTGTCTCCCCTTCTGTTTGCAAGCCACAGGGCTCCTCTGGAGCCCAGCAGCTGTAGCACGCATTTATTTATGGCCTGGGTTGTGATTCTCCCCCTCCCTGCACTGGAATTTCAAGCAGAGCCGCTGCAATAAATCCTTCACCAGGTCCCCTCCTCCAGGCTCTGGGAGGCAATAGCTCCCAGGGCTTCGCCCCCATTGGGAGGCCGCCGGCCACCTCGGGGCTCCTCGGGCCAGGCCCTGCGTTCTCGTCCTGCTGTACTACCAGGACACATGGACCCATCCAGGCACCTGGGTTCTGCTTGCTCACTGCGAAGTCATTCAGGGCCAGGCACCCTCCTGGCGTTGCTCAGCCCAGTCTCTCCTCAGTTGCAAATTTGGGCATCAGGTGCTTTTGCACCACTGGGTTCAGGTCGATGAATCCCGAGCTGTGGCCAGGGAAGTTGAGGCGATTCCCAGAGCTAAAGCAGCAAGAGGCACAGCACCAGAGCCAGCACGAAGGGAAGCTCCTTGCTGCAGGGATTGCTCCCAGGAGAGCAGGGACTGGGGCAGCAGGACAGCTAGGAGCAAACAGCACATTGAACCCATGGTAACAACCACCATTGCAACGTGAATCCTGGCTTTAAAGCTTTTGCAGGGGTATATAAAACCTGCTCTGCAAGAAACAGAATCCCCCCTTTCAATCTTATCCCACCCAAGCCGCTCTCCGGGGGGCTCTGGCTGCCTGGATGGGTAAGCTCCTCACTCACCTTTTGCTGCACACAGTCATGCTGAAGTTTTATTCATTTACCACAATCCACTATATCCCTTAATTGCAGCCACATGTGTTTTGCAAGTGTAAATAATTACCCTAGAGGCTTACTAATTAATGACTTTGGCATGATAATGAGCACAGAAGCCCGAGGGGTATATCCAGAGGGGTGGGATGGACAACCGTTCCCTGGGCTGCCGGGACCCTCAGAGCCTGGGGCAGTTCCCAGCGGCAGGTGTGGGTTAGCACCCAAATCCAGGTGACGTTTATGCCTTGGCCCAAGATTAAAAAATTAGCGAAACGGAGACAAAAAAGGCTCCGGTTGTGCCCCAACACCCACACAGCTGTGAGTCGACTGTAGCTACAACAGCTCCACCCTCCTTTTCTGCTCTTGTCCATCAGCCTCCAACACCCCCAATGCAGGCGCAGAAATAGCACCACCGTCCTCGGCGCCCGGGCAAGCTGCTTGGCCGAGGTCACGCCGCCCTTACCTCCGTCCCCGTCACGTCTTGCTGCCTCCGGACGGAGCAGTTTGGTGGCGGTGAGGGCCAGGCCAGGTGCCGGGATGCTCCTGGGCTGGCGACAGCGCTGGGCCGCGGGCAGGACAGAAAGGGGGGGGCTCAAAGGGCTCCGTCATCCCAGGCCAAGCACAGATTCGGGATGCAAAGGCAGGGAGCAAGCCAGGAGGCTGCTCATGCCCCTTGGTGCTCAGCGCCAGCCGCGCTCTGCCCTGTCACCGACAAATCACAGCCGCCCCTGGGCGTTCGCTGGGACTCCGGCAGGTAAAATGCTGCTCTGGGACTGTCGTAAACCACCCTGTTTGCTAGTCATGCCTGAGAGAAGGTCTTTCGGATGCATTTTTTCATGCACAATTAAAATATGATCTGGGAGCTGATGGCTTCAAGGAGATACGGGTGCTGGAGCTGGCAGAAGGCTCTCGGTGGATGGGCAAGACTCAAGCCAGGAAGCTTCGGATCAAGCCAGGAGGGTTCATATCCTTCCCAGCAGGTCCTGGCCCAGGTCTGAGGCTCCTGGCAATAAACCAACAGATAAATGGCAACAGCAAGGGGGGAGCAGGGAGAAATCCCAACAGGCTGGAAGGAGAGACGAAGGACAGCACCAGCGCTGGAGAGATGTCTGGACTGAGCGGGGCAAGGACTCCTCGGCCCCAGCGAGTCCCTGCTCTGTCCTGTGTCCTCTTGAGGCTAGAAGCATCCGTGTCTTGGTTCCTGGCTGGACAGGGGTCCTGGTAAATGCCATGATGGGCTTCCAGCCTCCCAGTAGAGCCAGAGGGAGGGCAAAGCGCCCATCTCCCAGCCCTGAGCTCTGTGCCACGGGCAGAGGCAGATTTGCAAGGTGCTTTTTGGGCCGCGGCCCAGGGCTGCTGCTGAGGGACGTGGGGCCTCGGGAGAGGACACCCAAGCAGCAAGAGCCCTGGTTGCTCTACTATGACCACCCAGCCCAGGTCCCCATCGCGTCGTTGGAAAACAGGCTGTGCCGCAGAGATGTTTTACACCTTTATTGCTCTAGCTGGAGGTTTTCTTCCCAATTCTCCCTCCCTATCCCTTCTCTTTCCTGGGGACACAGTTCCCTCAAGCCAGGACGGACAGCCCATGTGTTACAGAGTGGAGGGACACCGGTGGTGTCCCACCAGCATCTGGATGCCACTGCGAGCGCCCTACCTCCTTCTCTCTCTCCCACTGTGTGCATTTAGGTGAGGGGAAAGGAGGATTTGGGGGGCAAAGCCTGGCCCTTTCCCACCCCCAGCCCCCCCGGACAGTGAACACAGCCGCAGCTCCACAGGGGAATGTCTCTCCTGCCCCCAAAATCGTTCAAGTCCAGGCTCCCCCACAAGCCATCCCCTCTGCAACCCAGGCAAGAGCAGCCTCCCTTTGCGGGGACATGCCCGTTTCCAGCGGCTCCCAGCGCACCCCACGCGAAGGGCGGATATGGACAGGCAGGAATAGCCTGAACTCACCAGGGCTCAGTACGGTCTTGCTGAGCAAACCCCCAAAGCGGCACAACCCAAATCCCCGGGACATTCGCAGGAACCCGATGCAACAAAACAGGGAGGCACCACCCCGGCGCAGAGACCTCGGCCGCCCTCCCTCCCCCTGGATGCCAGGCACGGCCGGGGCAGCGTCCCCTCTGTCGTCGCGTCTCCAGCCGCCCAGGAAGGCGAGCGCCATCAGCAGAACTGGAAGAGAAGCAAAGCCGCGGGGTGGGGGGGTGAGCCGAGACCCTGAGCCGGCACCCACCCACACCCAGGGCTGTGTGCAGGGCGGCTGGGTGGTAGCACCCAGGGTTTGCAGCCCTGGGTCCTTGAGCTCATTAGGGCCTGCGAGGGGGGCTCAGGGCCAAGGGGGTGGTGAGACCCCATGGCATGGACGCCACGGAGGGACCCCGTCCCCGACAGACCCACGGCCAGGGGGAGAAATGGATTTGGGGACCCAGAGTGACATCTGCGCATCACCCCCCACTGAGTCCAGACCTTCCAGCGGTTCCCGCACTCGTTACACAGCACGAAGGTCGTCATGGGCTCGTCAGCGCTCCGCGTCTGCACCTGGGGACGGAGTGGGCAGCAGGGTCAGCAGAGCCCTGCCAGCAACCCCGAGCCTGCACCCCCTTGGCCAGAGGGGCTGGGGAAGCCCCCAGGTAACTTTGCCGGGCTCACCTGGTTGTAGGTGCAGTTCTTCTTCTTGCACTTGCCACACTGGAAGAGGTCGGTGACGGTGCCGCCCGTCTTGGCCATCTGGTGCTCCCGGATGGCCTCCTGGGTCATGGCGTTTCTCAACTCCTTCAGCTCGTCGCTGGCCATTTCCTGCCACGAGCAGTGGCCAGGCCAGGGTCAGCGCTGTGACTCGACTCTGCCCTACAGCTCCTGCTCTTAGCCAAGCAGCCACCGTCCCAGTTGGTTGGAAACCCCCTTAGATGTCACCATCCTCCCCATCTCACCAGGACCAAATTCGTCCTCTGCAGAGGGGAGCAGGCCCACCCAGAGGACAAATCAGCCCATCCTCAGATGTTGATTAGTGTCTCCCTGCAATGGGAGCCTGGGCTCCTAGGACCCTGCTCCTGCTCTGGCACTCAGCGCTGCTGCTGCGCCTTGGTCTGCCCGTCCCTGGCCCCAGCTCTTCCCCACGTGTGGCTGCAGCCCAGTGTCTGGCTCTGAGATGGGCCAGAGGTGTGTAGGGCTGTGGGGGAGCAGCACCCAAACCTTTTCAGCTGGCTCACCCCTGCTTTCTCCCAGGATGCTCCTTGTGCCCCAGCCAACACCATTTGTAGGGCTGTACCAGGAAGGCATGGGCCCACAAAGCATCTCGGGTCAGATGGATGGTTGTTTTGTGCCACGTAGTGGGACGAGCCCATACACCTTGTGGACACTACCAAGCCAAGACCCAGCTGGCCTTTGGGCACCAATGTGCCCCCCCGCCCCAGAGTGGATTTTAGGGAGCATCCCAGAAGCAGTGCAGATGCAGCCTGGTTCCCTGAGCCCTCGCCCCGCTCCATACTTCCGCGGTCATCCGGGCGATGAGGCCGGGCACGATGGCCCCGCACAGCACGTTCCTTCGCAGGTTGGGGTTCTTGGGGTCCTTTAGGTTGCTGATCCTGCTCCTCACCCGGTTGCGGTACTTCATGTCTGTGCTCTTCAGCTCCTGGAAGATATGTGGTGCCCGTCAAGGAATCGAGGACACAATGTGGGGGGGATGCCAGTGCTTCGGGCACCGGCTGCTGCTTTGCAAGCTGCGCTGCTGCTCGGCTACCAACAACACTGGTTGCCACCAGGAATAATGCCCATGTGTGCTTGGAGGGGGCCAGATTTGAAAGGGGGTGGCCCACCATGCTCAAACAGGACCTTGCTCCCTGATCCCACAAGAATAGGTGCCAGTGCTTCCCTCTTTTTGGATTTAGGGTTGCACACAGCTCGGGATGTTGGGAAGAAAGCACTTTTGCATTTCCCGGCTCCAACACCCAGGCAAGTTTGTTGGGCAAGGGGGACTTTCATCAAGCCTGGTGCTGTGAAGTGAGTTTATGAGGCAGAGGGCTCAGCCCACTTGCTTCCTACCAAGCTTGGGAATTGCGAAAAAAAAAAAAAAAAGAAAAGAAAAAAAAAGCTCCTGCTCCCTGAACAGATGTGGGAAAACAGGCTGAAGTGACAGTCCCACAGTCCCAGGTCCAGCTCCTACGAGGCTCTGAGCATGCACAGCCAGGGAGCTTTGGATGCACTGGAACGGGGGGTGTTATCTGCCCTCTCCATACCCATGGCACAGGAGAAACCACCTCAGTGGTTGCTCCCAGCCTCGGATGCTGCTGGACACCCTGAAATATTGAGCTGGGAGCGACCTGGGGGTTGCTCCATCCCATGCCATCATGCTGGACCGAGGCTGGCAAGACCTCGGCACCAAGTTATGGGCACCCACAGCCCAAAACAGCCCAGTCTCTGGCTCAGAAGGAGGCCTTGTTTGGGTTCGGAAAGGAAGGAAATGCTGTATTTCCCCATGGAGGAAGGCAATTCCCTGAGTAGATGGGTTTCGGCAGGGCAGGGGGATGCACAGCACCCCCCCAACGGGCGCGGGTCCCCCTGCCCATGGGGTTGGTCTCGGCTGGGATCTGCTCGGCTGAACATCAGCGCCGTTAGTCCGGGGTCCGGGCTCCCTCTGCAGGCAACGAGCACCGTCAGGTCTCAGCAGAGCCCATCACCCTCTGCCCCGGCCCTGCCACCCTCCGCCTGGGACCGTTCAGGGGGCCGATGCCTCTCTCCCCCGCAGCGGAGGGAGGCTGGGGTACCCCCGCATGTCCCAAAGGATATGGTCTTCGATCTCAGACGCCATCTTCTCGCAGTTGACACCAAACTCCTTGTAGTCGTCTAGAGGGCAAAGAGAGGCGGAGGAGTGACTCTGCGCCCCTGGCGCGGGGACGCCTGGGCAGGGAGTCAAACCAGCCGCGTTTCGCGGTGCCAGCACCCAGCCAGCCCTGGTGACGTGGCCAAAACCTTGCCTCTCCCCATGACTAACTCGGCTTATCCAAGACACCACCCCCTCTTTAAAAAACATCGTTTTTACCTGCTTTGAACTCACAATTCAAGCCCTTACTAACAACCTCCTTTTCTTGCAGCAGCGCGGGATGAACTTCTGCTGCTGCTGTTTTGCGAGGCCAGGGGCAGTTTGCTGCTGCAGGGGTGCCGGGACGCAGCGCCTTGCTTGTTATTGTAGGGTTGCTCCTGCTCCCCGTAGCCCTCACCCAGGAGGAACGACCCAGCAAAGCAGCTTAAGGAGGGATATTTAGGGTAACACGCTGCTCCCCCGAATAACTCCCCTGGGGAAGCCTGAATTTGGGCTCGGAGGCTCATTCTTTCCTCCGTGTTTTGCAACGTGTGATTAAACCAGGGGCTTAAAGCTGCCTGAATTGCCCAGAGATGCTGGCTCGGCCCCGCATCCCCCCTCTCGGGGCCGGTGCCTCGGCCGGGGCGCTCGGTGCCCGCTCACCGTCC